TCATTTCTCGATATGAAGAGTATGTGTATTTTATTGGGTTTAATCAAGTTTTGAAGCATTAGATGATTAGATTAACACCTCAAAATCATAAATCATTGTGTAATTAATGAATTCAAGAGGCTTAAAACATGTTTTGAATGGGAGTGGGTCATACTAAGTCATTGGAATTGAAAGGTTTAAAGACGAGGAATGAATAGGATAAGATCTAGTAGGGAAATATATTATGTCAATCCGACTTCAAATAAATGAGTTATGACATTTTAAAGAACAGATTCTACAATATTCAGAAAAATTGAAAACCTTTTAGCTTTGATACCATGTCTTCATGATATTGTAATTCAATGAATATGACCAAAAAAAGTAAAAGTACAACCTAAAATGAAGTACAAATACTAAAAACGTTGGAAAAATATCATGTCAATCAAACATCAAACGAATAAGTTATGACATTTTAATGAATTTCACAAATTACAAAATATAGATAAAATCTAAAAACCTTTCAGTTTTGATATCCCGCCTTCATGGGATTGTAACTCGATTAGTATATAACAAAAAGATGAAAATGAAGTACTAACACTAAACTACATTTCGGAAAAGATATTATGTCAATCCAACTTAAAACAAATGAGTTATGACATTTTAAAGAATTTCACAGATTACACAATATTAAAAAAAATTGAAAACCTTTTAGCTTTGATACTTCATTCTTACGAACGAAATTGTAAGGAGATTCGATAGAAACATTATTACATAGATTATGATAAAATGTTATGCCTCTTAAAGTTTTGATCCAAAAACAGGAATATGCGGGTCAAATCAATAAAAAAAATCGGAACCGATATAGTGTAAAACCAATGATCGATAACTAGCTTGACGATATAAAACTGGTACCGGTCCCGGATCATGGTCCTTATGCTCACCGATTGGGATTATATGTTTTTTTATTTAAATAATTCTTATAAGGAAAATTATGTTTAAAAATATATTTTCAACATGTTTTTTTATAAATTAACACTTAAAAACTCATTTATTGTAATTAAATAAAAACTTAGCTACTACGGTAAACATATTAAGAACATCTAATGGGTATTTTTTTTTTTTTTTTTTAAAGCTTATTATTATTATTGACTTTTATTTGTTTACAACTTATTACAATTAGAACATAAAGTTTATTTGTTTTTTTGTTGACCAATTATTTAATGTCTTTACATTTTACTTGTATTTCATTTTACCTTCCTAAATATATTTTAGTTTTAATATTTTTTATTTATTTACTAATTAATTATTTATATTAGTGGCATTTCCTTTATGAAATATAAAATCATAATGATTATATAAATATTTTTTATGACTCTTCTGTAATAGCTTTCATATTATTTTTTCCCAACGACATGTTGTAATATGTTTCTTTTGAAACAATGTATTATAATATTTTTAACAAAATTAAGATACAACGTGTATATAAAAAAGAATAATTACATAAGAGAGTTTTATAGAACATTTTAAATAAATATAAATAAATTAGTTAAAGTTTTATAAAAAAAAACTATTTAAAGAGATTAATCATTGTAGTGGTTATTTAGTTATATGATTAATTTATTATAATGATGATGTGACAAAAGTTTTAAGTTTTAGTATAATTTAACCATTGAAGATGGTTCTAGATTATATATTTATAAATAAAAATGAAATATTTATTTTAATAGAATACAAATAAACTAAAACATATATTTTTTACTTGTAAATAGCTCTTCTTGTTTAACTAGAAATACAAATAATTTAGTACAATAAAAAGCCAAAACGGAAATAAAATGAATAAAGAGGCAAACACGAAAGACAAAACAAAGAGGACAAAGCCTGGCCCATTATGATGTGACCAAGTGGACTCATCTCCACCGCGTTGATCTCCTATTGGTGGTCTACACGTCTACTCAGGTAGGTCCTACTCCACCCGAACATCCCTCAACTTTTACTTTTTCATATGGGTCGACATCATCTTTTTAAGTTTTGAGGAAATTACACATTTGGTCATTGTGATTTACATCAATTTGTATTTTTATTTTTATTTTTATTTTTTTACATTGTTTGTCCATGTAGTTTTAAAATTTTCATTCGTGCCCTTTAAGGTTGATACCGTCTAGTATGCTTGTTAAATGTCCCTAAAAATATTTTTATGTCTTCGAACTGAATTTGATAAAGGGAAAATGACTTGATAGGGTAAGATACTTTTTGAAATGTACACATTTAGTCCTTATTCTTTTGTTTTTTTTTTTTGTAAATTAAACCCTTATACCTGATTTGTTGTAATTATGCAATCCTTTTGACCGGCTATACCCGGTATACCGGTCATATACGAATTTTATTTTATTTTCTTGAAATGAAATAACCAGGTAGCATCCACATGTCACCTTACGTGGATATTGTTAAATTACACCACATTGAAACGACAATTAGGGCTCATTTAATCAGCCATTCCTCCATTCACTCAGCCGATAATCCCTCAAACTTCTTGACTCACAATCACCATCAACAATGGTAGAAGATGCAGATACAATCGGTGATGTACACTATAATGGGGTGTTCACGCCTACCCAATTGATGTATTTTAATGGAGTAAAAGCCTCTGTACCATACACGGTTGTGAACAAGATGAACTTCCCTGATTTCATCCCCTTTCTTGAAAAGCTTACTAACGGAAGATGCAGAGATGTGTATTACTGTCCACATGAAGTGAGGTTTTCGGAGGGATTACATGCTATTCAGAATGACTGTGATTTTAATGAGTTTCTTGAAGATATCAATGAAAAGAAGAGATTGGATGTGTATGTGGATCATCATCATGTACCTTTGTTTGATTGGATTCAGGAGGAAGAAGCAGACCTTGAAGATGATGATTTGGTTTCTATTTATGATGTTGACTCCATTTTAGAAGATGGTCTGAAAGCTGAACATGTAGAGGACGATGAAGTTATATCTCTCAAAAGAAACTTCAATGATCAATTTCTCAACAAACTTTATCCAATACAGAATGATGACTTGGTTGAAGAAGATCATAATGCAATACGACCTATCTACCCAAGACATGATCATACTCAGGAATGGAATTAGATGAAGCCTCAATTAGGTATGAAATACTCTACTACTGCTGAACTTAAATACTCTCTTAGTTGCTATGTTGTAGCAAATGGTTATGATATGTGGTATGAAAAGAATGACAAGAGTAGGTTGCTAGTTAGGTGTTGTAAAGGAAAGAATCCAACATGCCCCTTTTAGATTGTATGCTTCCTGGATGAAAGAGGAACACACTTTTCAGATTAAGTCTCTTATAAACAGAGCACAAGTGCTCTAGGGCATTCAAACTTGGGTCAATTGTAACATATAAGTGGATAGGGAAACAATTTGTGAATGATGTTTTGGAGAGTCCTAAACTGAGTTTGAGGAAAATGAAAGCCCTAGTATCTAAGAGATACAACATTAATGTGAGTGTTGGGCAGTGTAGGAATGCAAAAAAGTTAGCATTGTCTGAAGTTGAGGGAAGTTTGAAAGAACATTATGCCAAATTGTGGGATTATACAACTGAAATCTGAAGGGCTAATCCAGGTTCACATGTTGAGGTGTTCTTGGAGCCACAACCTGATAATATTGTGGTGTTTGATAGGTTTTATGTTAGCTTTAAAGGTGTTGTGGATGGGTGGTTAGATGGGTGCAGAAAGGTAATTCGGGTTGATGGTTGCTTTCTTAAGGGTGTTTGTAGAGGGGAGCTTCTATCAGCAGCTAGTGGGTAGAGATGCTAATAATAACATCTATCCCTTAGATTGGGCAGTATTCAATGTTGAGAACAAAAGGACATGAAAATGGTTTTTGAACAACCTGATGGAAGACATTGGAGGGGGGAATGGTCATGGAATTACAATCCTCTCAGATGGCCACAAGGTAATCATTTAATTGTTTTGATCATTTAATTAACCTTAATTGTTTTGATCATTTAATTAACTAATCATTTAATTGTTTGAATCAGGGATTATTTGAAGTTGTGAAGGAAAGAATTCCTGATGTGGAGCATAGATTATGTGTTAGAAACATTCTAGCTAATTTCCACAAAAAATTTAAAGGAGGACAATACTTTAAACCATTTTGGAGGGCTGTGATTGCAACAACTGTACCAAAGTTTGAAGCAGCAATGAATGGGATTAAGTCCTTGGAAAGCAGGGCTTATGACTATCTCATAGACAGGGATCCAAGGTGTTGGTCAAAGGCTTTTTTTAGAGAGGGTATGGATTGTGATGCAGTAGAGAATGGAGTTTCTGAAAGTTTCAATTCTGTTGTACTTGATGCTAGAAGGAAACCAGTGATAACAATGTTGGAGGACGTAAGATGTTGGGTAATGCAGAGGTTATGGATGCAGAAGCAAAATGGTTTGAATTAGGATTTGGACATATGCCCAAGTATCAGAAGGGAGATAGAGGATTTGAAAGAATTACAAAGGTTAGTAACAATTTCTTTAGTTATACATTGGTTTATAATGGTAACTGACTATCTTCTTGTATATTGACAAATTTTGGGTACCTTATGTGAGTGGCTACAAAGAATTTGAAGTGTTCTTAGGAAATGAGAGGTATGTTGTTAATCTGAATCAGAGGGCATGTGGATGCAGAAGCTGGCAACTCATAGGCATTCCATGTGTACATGTCATATCAGCAATTTCATCATTGAACCTAGATGTGGAGGCTTTTGTATCAAACTCCTATACTAATGCCTCTTTCCTTAGTAGCTACGAGTATAACATCAACCCACTCAATGACAGTTCTGAGTGGCCACATGTTGAAGGACTTCATACTATTTTACCTCCATTAAGGAGGAGGTTACCTGGCAGGACATGTGTCAAAAGGAAAAGAGATCAGGCAGAAAGAGAGCTAAGTGGGCACACAAGGCATACTGTGTTAAGGGCAGGTATTCCTCTAAGATGTACCATTTGCCACCAAATTGGCCACAACAAAGCCATGTGCCCAAGTAAGCCAACTCCAGCTCCAAGCACAACAGGTCGAAGTCAATCAACTCTAGCTCCAAGCACAGCAGGTCCAAGTCAATCAACTCCAGCTCCTGTCAAGAGAACTCCTGTGAAGAAGGCTCCTGTGAAGAGAAGTCCTATGAAGAAGGTTCCTTTGAATGATGCTGGTAGGGTGAGAAAGTTTTCAGAAAGAATCACAGAAATTGGTCTTCAGAAAAATGTCAAACTCAAGGATGGAACTGGATGCAGCCAAGACAAACCTGTGACTTTAGAGTAATTAGGTTTTGGTGTAGTGGGGTAATGCATGTGATATATATTTTAATGTAGTGTGGGGTAATCTTTTGAACTTAATTACTATATTACCCCTACTAGTTGTTTACTTTTGATGTACTTGTCGAATATTTTGAACTAAATTACTGTATTACCCTTACTGGTGGGCTTATCTTTTGTAATTATTAAATGGCTTGATGCCTTTTGTCAGCCACTTTTATTTGTCTTTACATCCAATTGTCTATAAAAGAATATTTCCTGTAATTTGTCTTGGTTTTACATCCATTTGACTGACTTAATTACATCAACATCCATACATAATAGCAATAAACTTTACCATTACATAAACATAAAGTAAATCAACATCCATTACATGAACAAGAATTACACAATAAGTCTATTACATCAACATCCCCTAAAACCTCCAGAAGCATATCTTCAACTCCAAAACATAACTTTAACAATGACCAGCAGAATCAGTACACAAACCATAACCTTCAACTGTTTCACTTCTTCTCTAACAGATGCCACATCCTCTAAAACTTGTATAAGATAATCTGCAACATTTGAAAGAGTATCTTCTGCAATGGGCTTCATATTCTCAGGTTCTTCATCAATCCATTCCCAAACTTTACACTTTTTCCCTGGTTTCTGTAGTAATAAAATCAACAACATAGAAGGTAAGAAGAAGAAAACTGATGCGATTTGACAAATAAAATCAATTTAGGTATTTACTAATGAGTTAGGGCACACTCGGAATTTCTTTACAGGGTTATCTTTGGTCTTGGAGGTACGAATTCTTGTAGGGAGTTTACAATCACAGAGGACTTCCTTATCTACTCTGTGATTGCTTGAACTTGTGGAGATTCTTGAGCCACTCGACATCTTCTTTCTTCTTCTACGACAAAACCGTGATTCCTCCTGATTTTGGATGTTAACATTCGTTTATAAGGAGTGACTAAGCTAATTAATTGTTATGCAGTTGTTTTTAGTGCCACGTGTGCTTCCACATCAGCAAAACCTATAGAATCCGGTCAAAAGGACCTAATGTGTACATATTAATAAAGTATAAGGGTTTAATTTACAAAAAAAAAAGAATAAGGACTAAATATGTACATTTTAAAAAGTAACTTACCCTATCAAGTCATTTTCCCTTTGATAAATGTTGTATATTTCAATGTCCACTTTTGAAAATTCTTTACTACTAAAACCATAAATTAGTAGCAGGTGACTTTTGTTTTCTCAAACCCTTTAAAAAAATCGTCAATAGCTCCTCCTCTATTTCCATACTCGTTGCCTCGTTATCGACCACCATCTTCGCCTCCATCGCCCGCGACCACTTTCACCTTCATCGTCATCCAGTACCACACCTTCACGTCTAGCCTCCATTTCAATCTGACATATTGTACACTACTACACCACCACCACCGACGTTGGTTCCTACCCCTCCACCAAAAAATTTCTCTTCTCAACCACTGAAATGGAGATATATTCTTGGTGGGCAGAAAGAAGAATATGAAATGTTTTTGAAGGGATGAAGGAAAAAGAAAATTATCTAACTCATACAATATATATTCCTTTTGGGAGGAAGGAAGAAAAAATGATATGTTCCTAGTGCTTCCACTGTCTTTCCTATTTCTAAAGTTCTTTTAATTTTGGTTACAAATTCCAAATTGGTGGCAGTGATGGTATCAACGATGACGATGATGATGGTATTAGTGGTGTCGTTGATGATGGTATCGATGGTGGTCGATGGTTATTGGTGATAATGATAGTTACGATGGTGGTTAGTAGTGATGATAATCATGGTGAATGGTGATATAGTGGTGGTTGGTATTGGTGACAGTGGTGGTAACTAGTGTTTAATGGTGGTTATTTCATTTGATAATTAAAATAAAAATATGTCAAAATTTTAGAAATGGTCCATGTGCTTTCCAAAAGATGACATGTTGATGATATCTTTCAAAAACACTTCAAATATGACCTTATGGTTTCAAAAAACTAAATTGTTGGTCTTTCATGCATCAAATCTAACTTTTGAGTTGTTACTTTTTTTAAAGGACCAATATGCCCGTGGATCAAATCTCAAAATCTTAAAAACCTCACTGACCATGTATGTAATTTACTTAGAACTTTGATTTACTCTTTTGTTCCGATCTAGTTTCCCTATCAAGTTTTGATTTGGTTTCAAATTTGATTCAAAATTTTGATTTCCCTACCAAGTTTCAGTTCGGATCTCCACAATGCTAGAACCCATGCTTGGTTTGCATTAGGTTTTGATTTTGTTTGGTTTTCTTTTTAGATGAATGATAGTGGTGGATGGATGTGATGGTGAAAGGATGACGAATATAGTGGTGGTTGGAGGTGACTGGTAAAGGGGGATGAAGATGGTGGTTAGGGTGAATGGAGGTGACGATGGAGATGGTGGTGATAGAGTATGTTAGTGTGGACAGATAGAGGTTAAGATGGTGGGATGATAAAGATAGTGGTGGATGGAGGTGAATGATGAGATGATAAAGATGTTGGTGATGGATGATGGTGGAGGAAGGATAAAGATGGTTGATAGAGGAGGTGGTGAGAAATGGTCTCTTAAGTATATACTACCTCCGTTCCAAATTAATTGTCCATATTTGACTTTTGAAGTCTTTATTATTCAATTTTGACCTTAAATATTTTTTTTTTGATAGATAATACTTGATGCAAAATATATAAATGGATTGTATTTTAAATGTCTTTTCATTATTATAAGTTTCAGCTAGTAATATATAACACAAATAAAAATATTTAAAGTCAAAATTAAAGAAAAAAGACTTCAAAAATCAAAAGTGGACAATTAATTTAAAATAGCTGGTCTAAAAATAAAAATAAGAAAACTTTTGGAAACCACATGACATATCCGAAGTATTTAAGATGTCACTTTTTGAAAAACATATAATTCATTTCTAAAGTTTGTCTAAAAATTAAAATAAGAAAAAGAAAAATACAGATAAAATGATAATTTAGCCATTTCACAGGTGTTTTATTTAATTGAGCATTTTAGACGATAAAAAGTAAAAGACGTAAAGTGTTTTTTTAATTATTTAAAAAAAATCAAGGGAGGGTGGGATCATATTAGAATCAAATTCTACGATCCCACGATCTTGTTTGCGATCCTATCCAGATACGATCCATATACAGTCCAACTCGTTTTTGATACTTAAGATCGATTGAAATTTTGACAACCTTAATTCCAACTATCTTCAAGTTGACAGTGTGCCTGAAAATATTTTAAATATGTAACAAACGTGTTATCTTTACGTAGTACCATATATATAACGTTGTACCATATATATAACATGTCATTTTATAATTTTACGCTTTTAGCTCAAGTATAAATTTTATTATGATTTTGGTCTAAACTTTTTTTTTTCACAAATTCTAACCAAAATTTGTTTTTCTTTATAATTTACCTTTTCAAAGATTTATTGTACAACTCTATTTTAAAATTATTATTAAAAATTACAAGTTTCTTTATTACTTTTTGTGTTGCATTTTAAAACTTTTTTTTACAATTGTTTACACCATATTTTCAATTCTATCCGGTGGTATAAGGTGTTGACATCCTTCTTGAGGTCGAAAGTTTAAATCTCATTGTAAGCATACATTGTATTAATTATTAAAGAGTAATTTAAGAATAAATTATATTTTTCGTTAAAAAAAAGTTTATAGCCTTTTTATAATTTTTTACAACATTTTTAATTTATTCACAACTATTTTACAATATTTTTGCAACTATTTTACAACGTTTTAAAAATTGTTTTACAATTCGTTCTTCATATTACCTATGGGTTATCGATTTACAATTTTTCTTTCTATAAGTTTTGGTATAGTTGGTTTGTTTTATGTTGTGTTTTGTTCAATTTCACTTTCTATATCCATATAAACGTTGATTTTATAGGGTTAACTTAGTTTTTGTGTTGTTGGGTTCTATAGATTTCAATTAATTTCTATATTCGATCTATTTTTTGTGTCCATTGTAAATTAATTTTAAAAACGTTATAACAAAGTTTAAAAATATTCTAAAAACTGTTGCAAAATAATTAAAACTAGTTTTTTAAGTCACCATACACGTTGCCGCTTTGTAATTAATAAAAATGAAAACTATAAAAAAAAAATTATGTAAAAAACAAAAACCGTATAAAAGTATTAAAAAAAAGTTTTGCATCCAAACAAGGTAAATGTTTATAAGGTAATAAAAAGTAGAGTAAATTACACGAATTGTCCCTATGATTTGGGATAACTTGTGTGTTTGGTCTCTGATTTATTTTTTGAACTCAAAACGTCCCTATAATATATTTTTATTGTTTCTTTGATCCCTAGCTTACGTTAAATGACTATTTTACCCTTATCTATTTATTTTTTTTTTTTATCATTTATCATTTATTTATAAATATATTATTATTAATTAATACATAAAAAATAATATAACTAAAACGCTAAAAGACTCACCCCACCTAATATCGTCTCTTTCCTCTCACCCCCATAAACACGTCGTTTGATCTCTTCTCAGTTATCACGATGCTCCAGTTTGGCAAAGTTTTCTTAACACTCGCCGGTTCTTTTTCAGGTGAATCCCCAAAACCGTAAAATAAGATAAATCAAGCTTAACAAACCTCCATCGCCTGTTATGTGAATTGACCCTAACATCAATCTCTAGCAAACAATTTGCAGAGAGAAAAAGATGAACATTAAGGTTGTCTTCAGTTTTGGCTACATCCGTTGGTGAGCGAGAGAGAAACAAAGGAACTACAGAATCAATGAACCCTTATGTTTGAACTCACTGAAATCAAACACATACTCTCCACCCCTAATGTTGGCTACCCACTGAATCGAAAAACCCTAATGTTCAAACCCATTGAAATCAAAGAACCCTAATGTTCTCTTGTCAAGAACTTCAAAAAAAATGATTTCAGTTCAATAAGTCTGTTGCCATTGCCAAGGTGTTCTGGTGTTTTTGTTTTTGTTGTTGTTGTTGTTGTTTTTTTTTTTTTTTTGTGAATAGATTGTATAATTTTTTTTGTGGCAATAAGTCTATTTGGTATTAAATGATCATAAATGAAGGGATGGTCGAATCCCTTATGGGTATGAGATGATCTGTGACAGTGGTGGGTAAGAAGGAAGTTGCCATGGCCACCGTAATACCGTCCCCATTGTTCTCCTCATCCCCCTCTCTATATTTCTCTCCCTCCCGAGCAAACCCTCCTCTCATTTAGTTTCCATTTGGTTTTTATTTCATTTGATTTGGTTTTGGGTTCTAGGATATTTTAGTTCATTGTGATTCTGGTTTCAATTTGGATGTTAGGTTTGATTTAAGGTATGATTTTGGATAACTTTGGTTTTGGTTGCAGGTGATCAACGATGATTATCAGAGTTAAAAGGCGGTGGTTGTCGAAGTTGAGCGTCGGTGTGCTATATTTTATTTATTAATGTAATTTATTTAATAATTAAAACATAATCATAAAAGAAATTAAAAAATACCATTAAGGGTAAAATAGAAATTTTAACTCGACCAATGACAAAAAAACACAACAAGATCAAATTATAAGGACCGTTCAAATTAAAAGAAAAGTTAAGGACCAACCATGCAAATTATTCCATACCATAGTGACCATTCATGTAATTTACCCTAAAAAATAATAGAAAAAACTGTAAAAATTGGTCCTTGTGGTTCGTAAAAAACTTTGGATAAGGCAGGAGCCCCATCAGAGAGGAGCCGAGCATTGCAGTGTCAGTCAGGGGAGGTCAGGGTTCCATTAGGTGCTATTGCAGGTGTGTTATCTTTCGTTTTCTTCTTGATTATTATCAGTATTTATATTGCTTTGGAATTTTGTATCGGTTTAGGTAAG